ATATTTTCGTTTAGATTTAAAGATTGTGGCAATTTATAATGTGCCAACATTTTTACCGCGTCAGTATTAATTAATAGTTGCCAAATTATTGGCTCTAAGTGGTAGGTGTAAAATGCTGTAAATAGTCCCTTTTAAATAGCAAATATGATTTTTGTAATCTGCCTAATGCTTAACATAGACTTTACTAATAATATTTTACTGCCGAAATATTTATTTTTCATGCGTAAACATGCGAGGGCATTATAATGGTAAGTTTTAGTAGATTGAATATAGGCATTGATGTTAGATAAATGTATGTCACAGTGCGATTTAGTTGCATTCGTTCGTTGATTCTTAGATGTTTAGCTGAACAAGTTCTCGATTCAACAAGACTAATATATTGTTTCTCTTTTCCAGGCCCAAGAACCTCTCAACAAACCGGGTACAAATGACTTTGTATAGTGTACAAGCTGGAAGTAAATACAGTATATTATCATTGAATGTGAAAAGAAAGAGAAGGACATGTGATACTTAAAATAGTGTTATCCAGTGAATGAGACTTAAGCGAACATTTTTGTAGTAAACTCTAAAAATAGTTAGCGTTAGTGCAGTGAAGTGAAGCTTAATGGAACAAAGTTCTGTTTGCTGTCATGCCTCGCGCCGAGATGGATCTCAAAATTACGATTATTTCATCGGCTGTCATATCACAACACTCGGTTATTTATACACAGATGCAGAGAACGGGATCATGAAAGGAAGCGAGGCATTTTTATTACTTTTGATTATAAAAATGTGAAGCTATTACGGTTGCAAATCTAAATTTGTTGGACGATTTGCATCTTTTGATGATATTATTATTGTAGCGTTGATCGAACGTCTGTAACCGTTCGAGGTACGCAGGGCTAGTGAGCAGTGCTTTCTACCCTTTTCTATATCTGTGTTCTGTACGTGAAAGAGATCTTGGTATTGCTTTTTGTACTATTTGTATCACATTATTAGATGTTAGAAGGGACATGTTTGCTCTAATTTTCTCTTAACACTGTGAATAGTATAAACATTCTAAATATTGCTTTATCAAATGCCAGGTGCATTGTAATTATTTATATAGAGTTTACAATTTTTTATTCCACTTTAGTTGATAATTTTAATATTATACATGTTTACAGCAATCCTAAAACTCTTAGACTTCCGCATTCAGAGAGAATGAAAAGCTCATGTTTCATAATGAAATGTACTTAGTTAGTAATTTCTCATGATTTCCTATATATTTTAAATATTGAACTGATTCTGCATATTTGAATATGATCGTCCGTGTACTTTACTTGGACCTGTTTTCTGATGAATATTTGATTTATTTATTTATATAACACACTAGAAAATGTAGGCTAATGTGAACAGTATAATGTGCCAATCTTAGTAAAATTTACAATTGTGTCGCCAAATTATATTATACAATACTTGATAGTAGTCGAATTCTCATACACTATATTTGTTGCGTCGATAATTTATTTGTACTATATAAAATTGTTATTAGCATAGTACAGTTTTAATATGAATTTTATATTTTATGTACCAGTTGAGTTTTACCATCGAATATTTTTATGTATTTATTATATATTTATTAACAATGAACGCATAGTATTTGGAATGTGACTTTGTCAAGCAAAATCCTGCCAAATCCTTTTAAAAATAAATGATTATTCTATTTGTAATGTAATTGAATTACATTAAATTCATACTTGATGCACATTTCATACAATATGCCTAGCTCAATAAGTGTGGTCACTAAAATAAATTATTGTGTAAATATTGTCAGTAAAATATATGTAAAAGGTGTTAATACTATGTCTTTTATTTTATTTGGACTACAGTGAAAGAAACTTAACACGTTAAACGCCATGGGGGTCACCGGTGACCGGCGGTAGCGGAGGATTTACCTTCAACAGTTTTTTATTGGCAGTCAAAGTCTTAACCGCTTGAATGCGAGAGAAATTGAAGAGACACAATAGAACATACATTGTGTCTCGCGTGGATCCACGTTTAGACACACGATGGGTTAATACAGCCAAAGCCTATAATAATAATATTGAAACAAGCAGTTGTTTAAAACCTATGAACTAAAGGTTGAAAGTCAAACAAAGGGTAACTACCAGTTTCAAAAACCTTTTGATTTCTGTCCGTACATTTTTATTGGATATTTTTTTTATAACTCGGAATTTTACAGCAGTAGATGTGCTCAATTTATTGCGAGTTCGACTCTCGCTAGAAAGAGAGAAAAGACAAAACATCCTCAATTGGAAATACACACTCACACACACGCGCATACACATGTGATCTATGTTTAAACTAACGACACAACAAAAAATAATCCTTCAACGAAGCAAGGTTTTCAAACAAAACTATTTAGTTTCTTTAGAGTTCTTTTAGTTTATTTAGAGGAAAATAGTCTCTGAGTCAATTCAAAAGGGTTTGTGTAAGTCATGTTTTATGAACAGATAAAATAAAATAATAATTAATATTTTTATTGTACTATTACAAGCTACATAAGGTAAACAGGCGGAAAATATATAACATGAATATTAATATATAAAAATCACGCGTTGTCCATTGCAGGGTAAGAAATCACGAACTGTATGGTTGACAGAACCTTATGTGAAAAAACATGAAAGTAGGCCAGTCACATCTGACCTTGCTATGTACAGTGGTCCCATGTAATGAGATGTCAGGATATATTGGTATGCTCTGTTCCTCATACAACCATAATTTTTCACCCTGCTTAATATTACAAGGAGGTCTCATATCTTATAAATATATTAATAAATTATATAAGTTACTAATGCTAGGTACAGCCACACTGTTTTGTATCATTTATTATACGCGAAATTATTTAATAAAATATTATAATTACAGTTACACCTACTTGCCTCGGATGGTTTAGATTAGACAGACGATAAACAAAGGTATTGTATAATTTAGTGCCATATGCAGATTATCAAATAAACTGTATGAATTTCAAAATCAAGGAAATTGAATGCTGACCCAGGAATTGAAAGAAAATAGTTCGTGGTCACGGCCAACGAATTACGCAGTTTTCAACGAAATTAAACTAATTATTATGAACATTACTTTAATGTAAATAGAGTGTAAAATTGTCTAAACGACAACATCGCATAGCGTGATCCTGAGCTCTAATGTACACTTAGTCTAAATAACTAACAAACTTCAACACGTTTAAAGCCAATAAAGGGCATCTAACCAAACTGTCTAAGTGACGTCTAACACGAAATTGCCAAGCAACAATGAACCTTAAAACTATCGAGGCTACACGGAAAACTTCGTATAAAACTAGAATTAAAAAAAAACTATTTTAAGTACCTAATTCTTAGGAAAATTCAACTATAGAAGTAGACAATGAAATAAAATGGTTGCGTTGTGAATACATTGTACTATGTTTAGTAAATACTTGAGCAGGTAAAATGGGCAGCAAGTTAACTAACTCTTTTCTGTCAAATTTCTTTATTAGATTTTCGACTCTATCGTTTACACATAAACCCGAAAATCTAATGACAAAACATGACACATCGGAGTAGCTTGATATGCTGGCCACTACATTTGCAATCAGTTTGTCAGTTACTATCAACATTCCTATCAATTTTATATCTTTTGCAATCAATAACTGAAGGCTATGTATGATAAGCATAATGCACTATATCTTATTGTGAATAGAAGTTCCGTATTACTATCGAGACATAATCACTTATTGGGGACTTCCGTAAGACAAAAATTCTTTAATTAATCGACGAAAACCAAGCAAAAACCCCAAGGACCAAGATACACAAACGACACTATTACGCCCGAATATTGAAAGGCTAAGGCTACTCAGTTTGAAGTTGTACTAAAATATCATGCCATCTCTTTTTATAAAGAATTTGCAGTGACAGAACTATAGGTACTGAACCGCTTGAATGCCTGTATACAAGACACAATATAAAATACATTGTGTCTCGCGTGGATCCGAGACCATCTCCAATGTAGACCTATTGGAGAGATGCCGCGAAACTCCGATCGACCGTTAGATCAAACGTCGCAAGTGGGGATGGATGGGCCATACGCTCCGAAGGGGTCCCGACCATATTTCCAAACAAGCGCTGGATTGGAATCCCCAGGGAAAAGGAAGCGTGGCCGCCCTCGGCAAACCTGGCGTCGTACTGTGATAGCAGAAGCGGCGAGCATCGGAATGGCGTGGAACGAGGTGAAGCGAGAAGCTCAAGACCGATCGAGATAGAGAACCTCTGTGGACGCCCTCTGCCCCATCTAGGGGACATAGGACTATAAGTCAAAAGTAAGTCTCGCGTGGATCCACGTTTAGACACACGACGGGTTAAGCGCGACTTAAAATTGAGTGGTTTGAGTAATGCGACAAGAACAAAATAATCGCTCACTAAACTAGTAGTTTTAGAAGAAAAAGAATCGATAAAGAACAATAAAAAAAAACGTAATTTTTGTAGCATTTTTAAACGATAAACGAAAATAAGACTTTAAAGCCAACGTTGTTTCAAAATCACAATTAATCTGTTAGTTTTTGGTTCTGGATCACATTTCTAAATTAAAAATTAAATAACTAATAAATTAAATCACAACTTGAAATTCGTATAACGCACTAGTCTTATTTGCTAACTACTATTACACATTACAGTACAATATTAATCAAATAATAACAATAATTATCTTGTTTTGTAAACAAGGGATGTTGCTTCAGTCAAAAACCAATGTTTAATTATAAAAATGGTCCTTTGATTAAAATGTTTTATAAATGCAGTAATTTTACTAGAGAAGTGTATCAAATGTTTTTGACAGTACCAACATCCCTTTAGATTAGAGTAACATAATTTTATAAAATGACATCATTCAAAATCATCAATCAAAATGGCATTTAACTCGTCGAGTACCGGTTTTGTAGACACAATTATAGAACAATAGGTTGCGGTCACCGGTGACCGCTTGGTGTTTGACAGTTTAAATAACTATAGACCAAAACCCGTGCATTTTTAGCGCTTATAAAAAACAAATAAATTGTATAATTAACTAACATGTTATTCATTTAAAACAGAATCTATAATTTCGTTTCATTACTTAGTATTATTTTAATTATCGCATAATCATATTCGCGGGCAATTAGAAACACACGGGTGTATAATTACACTGGACAAACGAGGTACTACGTCGAATGTTCTAGAACTAATTTATTCTACAGAATGCTAATAAACACTACCATTAACTACTGGACTAGTAATCTCATCGTCACTCACGCTTAATCTTTTCTTAATGTTCGCAGTTCCGTTCATTTTTATATCACTTTCTTTTAAGTCGGTTAAACCATTGGTTGTTTGAGGTAGTTTGTAAGTTTCGTATTGTTTGGTGATGTGGGCTTTGTATATTTGGAATGTGTTCGCTGCGATGTGCTGCCGGGCGTGGACGAACAGCTGATCGAAGTGGTGAAGGTTGTGGCTGGAAGATAATGGTTCGTATAATATAGGTATGTACAAGACAGTAAGTAAATCCGATAAAAGTGATGATTACATTAATACAAGTGTAAGTAAGTATTACTAGCACATTCGATGATCATTAGAACGGATTATAGAATTTGTATGACACATTCTACAGCCAATTTTTATCAACTGCTATAATACTTAAATTAATTCAAGTATTATGTGGTTTTCACAATTAACATTCCGTTACAACAGAGAAGTGGCCGTAATGAGATTATTACGGGTGAAAAATGTAAGGACACATCATCCTATCAAAATATATTGAACCAATTCTCGCCCGGTACTTCACACCCGCATAATCATAGGTACGCCCTTCGTTCTCATAGGAATTTCAGATAATTCTCTTAGCATAGCTTCCTGTGCCGAATAACATCAGCTATATTGTGAATCAGTCAGTATTAAAGAAGTTTTCATAAATATATTGAAGATGATATACTTACATGCTCAATAAAACAGACGAGAGCATCTCCCTTGTGTTCAAAAGATGGCGGACATATGCCCTTGTATGCTTCTTACAAGTTAAACATTCACATCCTTCTAATACTGGAGTAAAATCTTCTGTATACCTGTAATAGAAATGAGTTGTTAACTAAAAGAGTTCCTCTAATAAGAAGAACCGTAGGGTACGAAATACATAAAACCGATTTTGGTACATAAGGTCTTTTGACCAGTAGAATATTTATTAATGTCTAATCGTTAGTCAGTCAACTTGTAACAAAATTAAGCATTGGATTAAGAACCTTACTAGATATATTATTATGTTTTCGGCTTACTCACGTAATTATTTGACGAGGAACAGTAGCAGCGCGACAGTCGCCGCGTCGCGGGTCGCGAAATGCTGCTAATGAATATGAGCCTCTAGCATGGCTTGAAACTAGTCGAGCTCCTCGTCAAATATTTACGTGAGTAAGTTGAAAACATAATAGTATAATTCGAATGTCTCAACAGAGTTATAATAAAAACCTTACGAGGTGTAAGATCGAGGTGCTTGAAGATTACTGTTAGCGCCATGTCATGAGCGCAAAAAACCATTAATACTCAATAATTCTTCAATTCAAGGATAGTGGAAACTCATATGTACAACCACAGCAGTCATTTGTCAATGTAATAAGAATACATGACAAGTAATACTCTGTATTTATAGATATGAAGTCAAAAACATTTTTAGCGAAGATACTTATAATTCGAATGTGAATTTTGTTACAAAACTAATTTGTCTATCTTTAATTCAAATAAACTTGTCATTTTGTCAACATCTTATACAGAATTGGAAGTAACAAACTCATGCTTATTCAGTAGCATACAAAATATAGTAGATAAGTTGCCATATTGCGAAAAAAAAACATCAAATCAGTTGACCACAAAAACTTAATGGTAAATCATTTATTTTATAACAAAAAAGACTCATTGTCTAAGTTCAAAGATGATGCAATGTTTTTTTAATTGAAATCGTCTTATCAAAATCATCCGACATTCGATGCGGATATTTAGTATAATTTATCAGAAAAAACTCGCAGTTAATCATATCACTATAGGTAATCATTAAAATCGGCAGATGTATGATACTTGGAACTGATAATAGCTTAATAAATTATGGTTAAACTCACAGAACATATAAAGAAGGCTAGAAAGGAAATAGTTCCTGATTTGTATTAGAACACGCGTCGCCGTTTGTCCCCCTCTCTTTAACTTTACTACAAGCAAGAGACCAATACCTACGCGGAAAATGCACACAAATAAACAACACGCACTAGGTTAAAAGATTTGTTATTGGTCGTCACACTGAAGCAATCACTTCGTTTGACATACACTAATACAGGCGTAAAAAACTCATATATGGTAGGGGGAGCGAAAGGTCGATTATTGATATCGATAAAATTAATGGCATCTAGCTTCTTAATTTACATGTATTGTGGACTATGCGGATTTGTATAAAGCATATTGTGCACATGTATTTACGTTAATGTAAATAACTATACATAGAAAAATACATAACTGATTTTTAAAATCAATTACATTATTAACATTAAAATAATTTGACATGGAATATAGTTATAAGTAAATTGTTGATTGGTAGTAATCAAAAAAGTATAAAAACCCGAAAAGGTATTATTTCGATTTTGTTTTGTTTTCAACTGTAAGTTTTATAAAAATAAAAGGAGTCTGGGAAGTCATGGGGTCAAAAATAATAGATTTTTACTTAATTCAAAATATATAAAAAATAGCGTAATTTCTCCCTAAGGAATGAAAAATCATAAAATAATGAAATATTGAGAATTATCATAACGTAACCATATCATGATATATCTAATCTGTGCTCAAAACTCTGTTATTGTCTCTGTTAGATATCATCATGACATTCGTATGATGACAACCGATAATCGTCGTTCGTATTTCTTTAATAGTTAATATAAATAGGAATTATTATATAGTTTCGGTTACATAATTTCCTTTACTGAATGTGAGTGGTGTGCAAATTAACTTAGAAAGTACGTATAAGTTGTATGAAACAGCGCCGCAACCTCCAGGCCAACACAATATTTAGCTCACGTAAATTAAGTCAGCTCTAAAAGCTCTGAAAACTAGAAAAGTCATCAAGTGTACATAGCTATTCTTAAAAAAGGTACAATACAATCGCTCCCAGGATATAATGTCATCTTATTTGTTGTCATAGCTTTGTTCTCGAATAGAAAACCTCAACAACTATTTTAAATTATTGACTAAAATTTCGGCTGGCTTTTAAGAATTTCTCATAGTTTCAACTATTTACAATTTGGGCCTAAGCATGTATGAAAGAGTATCCATCTTACGAAAAATGATTTAGATGTCCCTTAGATGATATCAAGGTAGAAATGTAAAACAAAATTTCCTAAATCATAAAATCAGTCTACTTACTGAACAAAACATAACGAATACATAAAAAATTATATAAAACTGAAATACGAATAAAATGCCTCACTTAAAACCTATTTCATAATTAGTCGTAATAAATAAAATTATTTTAGTTATAATGTGTATAATTTGATAATAATCCTTTGTATCATAGTAATTATCGACATTGTTTACAAATTGACACTTCTCTATATCGATTCGAGGAAATGACGTTTTGATTTGATACTCGGGACTCTCGTTGTGAACGTAATACATTGCGCGATCGTTTATGTAGTGCAAAACGGTACGTATCTATTGCAAGCAATGTATACTGCTTGCGATAATGTCGTTTTTGTCTAGAAACGTCATAATATTAATGTTATAATTACAAATATCACAAGTATATTAATGTTTTTGAAGTCACTGGTGGAAAGAAATCCCTTCTCGTGCTACATTGCACACCTGTCTTCTTTTCCGACACATTACAATAGTCCAAGACGGCATAATTTAATATTATTTGCGGAGTTTCGTACGCTGTCACAACATCATTGCGTTTGATGGCCGGTTTTTGACATTTTGGTAGATTTGGAGCATTTGCTCATAACCGCGGCACGCGTGTACCGCCCACAAGGCCGTTCTATCCTCCTTTATATGTTCTGTGGTTAAACTGTATCACGCCACTGCGGGTAAGCATAAATTCTTACGGAATGTACGCCTAATCTGGCATGCATGTTCTTCGATAAAATTTAGTGCGTATGAACCAGGCAAATGTTTAAAACAAGAGTGATTAACTATCATAGTACCTTTTGTATAGTAGGTACTAGGTAAGTAGGGAACTAGCTCTTGTCCAAATATATCGCACCTACGGTGCAATATCGTCACTTATGCAATTTTTGTCAAAACTTAACTGATTATGAAAGAATACTCCAAATTCACTTCTTTACTTGGTGCGTTATTGTCATTTGTGTAGTAAGCAAACTGACATTGTGAGGGCTTTACTGTCGTTACGGTTTTGGCGCTAGTCTGGACGGCACTAGGAAAAACAACGTTTCATTGTTCAGTTGCTTGCGGGCCCCCGCAATACAAAAGTGACGGTATAGCACCGGAGGTACGATATATTGGTACATTCATCGGCATAGACACTATTCATCTATTTCCCGTTTTCACGCCATAACTTGAGAACGGCTAGACCGATTTGGCTGATCTTTTTTTTGTTGTGTTTGTTATTATCAGGAGAAGGTTCTTACGACAGAAAAGAATCCTGAAAATCCTACGGAAACGGGAGAAAACGAGACTGCGAAGTCGCAGGCAGAAGCTAGTACTATAATAAAAATATTTTTCTACATTTTGAAAATTATCAATCGCATCGTGACAACAAAATAAAACAAAACACGTGTTTTGCGCTATGAACTTAAACAATTGAAGTCAAGGCTACGAGACAGACTAACAACTGCATATTTCAACCTTAGAACTTATTTATTTTCTGCAATGAAGCGTATCAGTCATCAAAAAAAGTAGTCATTATGGGATTCCATCAAAATTTGCACTTTAGGCTTGTGTTGAAGGCAGAACAAGTTTCTAAAATTAATATGGTTGAAGTATAACCAGTCCGAAGTCCAAAAAAGCTGTATAAAATTCAAATTGGCAGGCAACCTTCGTCCGCCGCCGCGATCAAAATTCGCACTTTGGCCCGAGGCATTAGCCAAACAGGTTTGCAAATATCAGGCCCAAATATAAGCATACTTTTGGACGAAAAAATGTATAGTCATGATGAACAAGCATTAAGAAAACAGAACCTTTGACTTGAATAAAAAAGAGGAAAATATGTAACTATTAATTACGATGTAAATGTGTTAGATCAGGTGATAGGTTGTAGATCAATAGTACCTTGCGTCATTCAGATCTAAGAGACATGGCTCCGCGCTCTGTCGATTGGTGTCGAAGTTCAGTGCCAATGCATGGCCGGCGTTGCTCAGTTTCGTAGGATAGGACCCGTCGAAAAGGTCCCACCCTTGTTCTATCGCTGCTACTATGACTGCTGGATTCCAACAGCCTTCTATTACTCGTAATAAGTCTTTTGGTAATTTATCCTGAAATAAAGAATATTAATATTAGCTGTACTATTATTGCCACATCAATTCTCAATTTTATTTATAGATAGTTACCATTAGATATTTTATAGTATGTAGGTAATGCGTTATGCAAAACCTCGTTAACAATCCATTTCATTATGTACCGTGTTCGAGATTTCTCATAAAAGTAGTTATTTTCTAACTACTAGCGCCATCTAGTAAGGTGGCAAGTAAACCATTTTAAGTGAGTTTATTTTTGTCTTGAAATTTTATAAATAAACTAAATAAGTAAGTGTTCAAATGAACTGAATAAGTGAAAATGTATTTAGGAGGTAGGTACCAAGCCCCAGAGCTGCAGCTGCGGGTAACCTAAGTAAGAAAATATTTGGTAAGTACCTATCTATAACATTTCCTATCTAATATTATCATGACTCGTTCCTAGTTATATGCACCATTGGAGTTACAGTAATAATACCAACAATATAAAACCCAATATCAAACTATGGAAGTTTAACGAGCTGATAAAAATACTTTAAAACATGTACAGAACACTTATCTACAAATCTATCAATAATGTCCATGCAGTTTCCAAGTACACGCGACCTTTATGCGAAACTAATCGTAAAACACGTTCGAAATTCAAATATTTATTTTGTAATACGTAATGTACGGTAATGTTCACACTTCAAGGCGAAAAAATGACGGATTTGGTCTTACGTAATCTTTGTTAACCGTACGTCTAAAATGTTTTGCTTACGTACGTACATTTGTTAGCTTAATCGTGTAGAAAAAATGCGACGTAGTATCTATTCAATGATGGATTGTAATGGAAAAGTTTGAGTAATGGAAATTCTAAATTAAGTAAAAACGCGGGTTACTCACGTGAATATACTGAGAAACTAGTAGAGCTTTTCTCAGTATATTCACGTGAGTAACCCGCGTTTTTACTTAATTTAGTATGTCTCACGATAGTTATTATAAAAATGGAAATTCTGTATCTTGTCCAAGCCTTCTCTTCCTTTAATCAACTAGATGTTTACTTGACTATTATACGTCATCTAAGTAAGTACATAAAACATTTTTTCGAATATTGTGTGTAGTTAGGAAGATTAATGAGAACTTGTAATATTATCAACAAGACTGCAGCAAAGATATAACACATAACATAACATCACGCTTTTTTATCCCCGAAGGGATAGACAGAGGTGCACATTGCGGCACTTAGTCCAACTGTGCAATGTAACACCCACTTTTCACTATTTATGTTATAAGTCCCATGTAATAGGGGGTGAGCCTATTGTCATATACCGGGCACAATTAGAGCGGAGTCTCTAACTGTGCCCAGTATATGACATATATATGTATATGCTACCACTGAGATTTTTTTTAAAAACCCAGTAAAGATATAATGCTAAACTTAACTAATCGAAGGCGTGAGATTAACACACGACATTCTGATGTCAGTAATAACAAGAATTGCGTCATCATTGGAGAATGTAGGTGATGATGTGTACAAATATTTTCAACCGTATGTCTGTCGTCATAAAACACATTGCAGTGACGGTGACTATGTGTTAATTACGCCTTTTAATTGCTGAAAGGATAAGCAAAAGCAAACAACGTGTACACAAACAAAGTAACACCCACTTTTGATCTTTAGTTATATTATGAGTATTTTATAGAGTACAGAGTCTAGAAGTGTGCCCCAATTACACATACCTACTTGTATTTTATACCCCATAAACCCCTCTTAGTTTACAAATCCCAGAAACCCAACTTAATTTTTAGGAAGTCAAGTTTAGTAATTCTAGCGGCCTGGTTAAATGACTAGGTAGTTCTGAAATAGTTGTGGCTAAATCTATAATTGGTTCTTGCCTACAAATTTCATAAACTAAGGAAACCAAAACAAATAACATAACATAGCATCACGCCATTTATCCCCGAAGGGGTAGGTAAAGGTGCATGTTATGCTACTATACAATGTTACACCCACTTTTCACTATTTATGTTATGAGTCCCATGTAATAGGAGGTGAGCCTATTGCCATATACCGGGCACAATTCCAGACTCCGTGTTACTACTGAGAATTTTTTAAAACCCAGTAAATCTTTGGCCCACTCGGGAATCGAACCCGAGACCCCTCGCCCTGCAGTCGCATTTGCGACCACTTGGCCAACGAGGCAGTCAAAACTAATTGCAAACCAAATACAAGTCCATTAGTTAGTATATAATCTAACCCGTTGAAATCCATCCCCTAAATTTGGTCATACAAAAGTAGTCTCTAAACATTACAAATAAGGTCTATAATGTAATGTAACATTAGTGGAAAGCGGTCACCGGTGACCGCTTGGTGATTTATGGGCTAAATAATGTGTTTATATATAAACAGAGGTTAGTTCACTATTTCGTAATCACCACAGGAAATGACAAAGTAACAAAAACTGCTGATGAGTCATCAGTCACCTTTTTTTAACAGACTGATGACTGATATAAATGCTTCAAATCTGCTTGTAACTAACTTAAAGGTAATAAATGCTCATTGCTTCCTACTAGGATATTTCTGTATAATGCCAATGAGTTGGACAGTTTTGCAGCCTAATGTTATAATCATCACACTACTATTTTAAATGTGAAAGTCTTGTATGGATATTTGTCCGTCAATCACACTGAAACTACTGACCGCATTTCACTGACACATGAATTGTCATGGAAACCCATTGGGGTATGGGTTGACTTAGGTGATAGGATACCTTTTATCCCCATTAAATGTTCCCATTGTATAAAACAGGAATATGCGGGCAAACTCGCGGGTAAAAGCTAGTTAATAAATAGGTATACCGGTCTTTGCGATTAGATGTAAACTTTTGTCCCTTAACCCGTTGAAATCCATCCCCTAAATTTGGTCATACAAAAGTAGTCTCTAAACATTACAAATAAGGTCTATAATGTAATGTAATATTAGTGGAAAGCGGTCACCAGTGACCGCTTAGGGATTTATGGGTTAAGTTGTTGTTTTACAGTTCATCTGATGGTATGCTGGAGCATAGATCTACTCGAGACAGAATGTGTTTTCTATTGTGTCACATACACACAGACAAGAGGTTATCACCTACAACATACATTTCTGCACTGCTCAAAGGTTAACTAGCACACAAGACTAATCTAACCTTGTATTAGCCAATGTCCACCTTGTGCAATGTTTATGTCATATGAAATTTTTCTAAAAAATAATAAGGTAAATAGAATATTCTTGTACTTACACTAACAGTTTTAAAAATACTTTCTATCTTCTCCAAAGCTAATTTATCAGATTCATCGGTTGCATCTGTTACACCAGCTAAAGCGACTCCTGTAAGATCATCTTTGTATTTCAGTACATGTTCTATGCTTTCATTCAATTTCTTTGGCATTCCCGTGGCTACTACTACACCTGGAAATGAAAGATTAAGATTTTAGAACAGGAAATAAACATAATTAAAACCTTTTTTTTGTTAAGAACAATGGCTGAAATCTTTTTTTTTTAATTTTACTAATTGGTACTTATTGGAAAAATAGGCTGCTGCCTAGTTAGTACCTACCTAGTAGCTTCTGTTAAATGGCATTTGTCTGTGTCTAAGATTACATTGTTACAAGGACAATACAAGTCTTGTAGGTAAACTAAATATAAACAGATGTTCAATCTCATCAAAATTCTGAGTACCTACTGAGAAAAAATCAAAATTCTGTCTTACCAATTAGGCCACTATGTCGAAGCTGCTTTGAGGCCTTATATCGATACACACAAGTATCCAGCATGTTGCAGCTTCTATCCAGGGACTTCATAATTCTCTTATAACCCTCATTAAGTGCTGTCCGGCCATCTGCAATCGCCAAAATAATTTCTGGTTTGTATACTTCCATCAAATCCATATATCTGAAATATTTTTTATTTGGAAAATAATAAGCAAGATATTCTAATATTACTTACTTAATTGAGACAGTGATTATTGGGAATTATTAATTTCTATTTTGAATAAACACCAGGCTAATGCTGTTGTTAATTTTTTACTATTTAGTTATTTAAAACCTCACCTGTCCGCATTAACCATTTTCTTCCCATTTTTGGTCCACAAAGGTACTTTATCAAGTTCAAAATGTCCTGAAGGAGTTACTTCACTCATATTATGAGCTGATACACAAGTTAAATGTTCCGGAAGGCCAGTAAACTTAGCCACACCTTCTCCTTGAGCCTTCATACCAGGTTCTAGTTGTAAAGAGTTTGAAACCGGCACCCATAACAGTTGTGGAGTTGAAAATACTTTGGCTAACACTTCTGCGGTTAGATGCAGTACACTGCCTCCCTGAAAACGCAGTAATATTTTGTTAGAAAGTTATACACAATATCTTAATAGCAACATAAATCTTTTCAAACTAGGTTTGGCATGGCTGTAGATTATGACATGGGAACCTAATACCAAATTTCATAACGCATGGCAATAATTAGGTCATGTTCACTTGATATTAAGTTGTAATATCTAGATATTATTATTATTGTTCAATATCAAGGGGAAAACCCAATGCCAATGTCACACATATGTTGATAGATTTAGCAGACATAGTTTGACTAAATACCTACATAACAAACTCTTATTAGACCAATAATGATGATAAAAATTATAAAGGTACCTATACAAAATGATTATGACGTGGAAAATCGAAAGAAAATGCGACGGAAAATTCTTTAACCGCCAATCATTCATAATCATATTGCAAAAACATGGCTTATTCTATGATTGTTCTGCATATTAGGGTACGACCCACGCATAATTCTGTAGAAATGTTACTGATGAGTCACTGGAATAAAAAGTTGATCAATATTTTGTAAACTACCTGAGTAAATAGAGCTGCTGTCGGAGTTTCAATAACAGTGCCCGGAGATTTCACAAATCCTGTTAACGTACCAATACGTTCACTACCAAGGGTTGCATGTTTAATTGAAAAACGCATTGTGAGGGATTTCGTAAGGATTTTCAATACACTTGGTAACTTTATTTACAAATTATTTGCGCGCTCCGTGCTGTGCTAACCTCAAAGTTGAAAGTTGCCGACTTGAGTTGCCAGCTTTGAAAAGCAAAAAGTGTTGTCAATAGCGCATTCATATTTAAATTAAAAAAAAGTCTGAATGAAATATTTCGCTCAGAATATTTATATTATAAATAATTATATTTTTGTTAATAAAATGTAGTCATCGAAACAGCCGGTAAACGAGCAGACGGATCACCTGATGGTGCGCAATCGGCGCCGCCCATGGACACCCAAAACACAGGTGGTGGCCTTTTAGGGATTAGGGATTTGAGAATTGTTGGAGATTTAGAGATTGGAAAGTTTGGGGATGGGGTAATTTCGAGTCCGATAATTTCACTCTCACGACGAAACACAACGCAAGTGCAGTTGTAAGTACTTACACATCGATTTTCTGTGAGGTTGTAGTATCTGGTATCACTCCAGTCGTACCAGCCTATTCTATATGTGGGAGGACCATGCTTGCTAAGGCACGGCTCTCTCACATATAGTCGTCGTAGTCGTCGCTGCGTCGTAACTCGCAACAGATTGAAGTTGAATTTATAATGACCCAAGGTGAGATCATTAAAAGGTATGTATGTACCTACTTAAGCATTTGTATCTCCTTGCACGCACATACAATAGCAGTCACTAAACATAATGCAACCTCAGGCCTGTCTCCCTTAGGCAGAGACTATGGAACGCCAATTGTTATTCTACGATTCTTACGATTTTTTCCGCGGTAGTAGGTAGGTACCTAGGTGCTTGTTAACCACTAGCACTCGCGAACCAAAAGATGGTAGGTCCTGCAGACTGTATAATAAAAATGTAGATATACAGGTAGGTACTCATGAGATGACTCATGTAAGCCCAAAAATGAAGTTACGTATAATTATTTATTCATAACGTCGATTATGATGATTTGTCTATGACATTTTATTAGTACCTACTTACCTACCCTCGGTAGGGGTGGTCTCACCAGAAGGGTGCCCTCCCCTTTACATCTCATTGTTTCAAAGAATGTTGCGAGATCTAATGGATATATTAATTAAGTTTGCTCATTTACGACGGATACTGTACTTTGTAGCATTAATTATAACTGAAAAGCCCCTTTGAATAAGTGGGTAGGCTACGGGGCAGGAAGTTTATTTTTAAGAAACCCATGCGAAACTGCAGTTCGTATCATTTCGTATTCCATGCCTTTGGGCATTTCATCATTTATTAATTTTCATATCATTTAAACCCCACTGTGTTCAGAAGGGGAAGAATGAACAATGTTTGTAGTTATAGCTGAATGACAACTTATTTGCAATTTTGTTCTTATGCTTTGCATTCAAAACAATTTCTAAGATTGTTAGAGTTATTTAGAAGTGTTAGTTCCCTCTCTATAAAAATGGGTAGGTATTAGGTAGTATCTTCTATACAATGTACCTACGTAAACAGGTAGGTATTTACTAACTATTACCTACTTTCATTACCTACTGGCATGATGGCTTGTTATACAAGCTCATCTCTTTCGGAATTCCATTGAATTTAGTAAAACTAATTCAGTCCTACCTCAGTGATCGCAAGTTCGTGGTACATATTGGCTCTAATAGGTCGTCATCCCGGGTGATGATGGCTGGGGTACCGCAGGGGTCAGTGCTTGGTCCTTACCTCTTTGTCCTGTATGTTAATGACTTGCCTGTGCAAGTCCGTACCCATTTAGCCTGTTTTGCTGATGATACAGCGTCTTATACTTCAGATAGCGACGTTGACATTATCATTAGCCGACTTCAGATGTCTCTTGAATTACTCCAGTCTTACTTCAATAAATGGAAGCTCAAATTGAATGAATCTAAAACTGAAGCCATTCTTTTTACACGTCAACGTAACGTCCCTAAAAGAAATTTGAATATTTCTGGTCAGTCCATTCCTTGGAGTGCAGCAGTTCGCTACCTGGGTATCACGCTGGACAAAAGGTTAAACTGGACTAAACACATAGCAAAATTACGTGTCAAGGGAGCACAAGCACTAGGTTCCCTAAGCCCTATACTCAACCGTAAGAGCAGACTCAGCCCTAAGACAAAAATTAGACTATACACAACCTTAATTAGACCTTGCATCACCTATTCATGTCCAGTATGGAGCAATACTTGTGAATCAAATTATAAACATTTACAGATTCTACAAAATAAAGCTGTTAAAATCGCTTATAATACTCCATTTTTAACTAATCTCCAAATACTTCACTCGAAAATTAATTTACCAAACATAACACAATATATTTTAAAACTAACTCGCAAATTTTACAGTAAAAATAAATGTCACTATAATACTTTGATTGCCGACATAGGGCGAAAAGATTTGAATGATTTGCATGGTATCGATAGATATGGTACATACAAGCTCCCACATCACTACGTTTTGTTCGCACACAAAACTGATACCATCGTAGCATGAGCCACGCACTGCGCCAGCGCTGCCCCGCTCTCGTCACTAAACCGTGAGGAGGCGCGGGGCGCGGGGGCTCAGTCGCTGTGGTATCTTGGTGCGGCTACCTGCGTTGCCACTGTTCGCAACATTTTATGTATGCGCGTAATTAATGTATTTTTACCCTCGAACTATAATAATGGAATCATTACAATGATTTCATATGTATAACATTATTAAATTATCATAATATCAAGCATACATAACCTACTTATTGTTTTAAAATACTTAAAAAGGCTTACACAGCCTGTAAAAGTGTTGTTATTTGAAGACGGAATTGTGACTTGTATTGTAAGTTTTTCAATTTGTGTACACCTACTTATTTTAATAAAGAATTTTATAAAACAAACAAACCTACTTTCAGCTGTTTAAGTAGGCACCCACCTACTGTGAATATTATAAGTACATGCGAAGCAGTCAGGCTAGCCAAGGAGGAGGTGAGACGGCTGAGGGAACGAACTTCCTCACGCCCCAGCTGTCGCGGGAGACACTCCGGGCGTCGGAGATCCGACGTAAGTTGGGGTCTGAGGACTTCGGAAAGGGTAGCTTGCCGCACGACCAGAACCAGAGCATCAGACCATCAGACCACCACAGATGCACTATACGGTGCCGCGGAAGGCTTGACGGATTGCCGGGGCTCCGGCTCGAAGAGTAGGAGGAACGGGGTGGTTCTTAATCAGTAAGCGTCTGACGCTCCCTCTCGCCTAAACTAAGGCGGGAGAAGACAAAAGGATGACCCCCCCCCCCAAATTGGAATAACAAAATATTTTGGTATTTGCCTATTCATAAGCCGGGGCGGGTCACTAGTAGTCTATAAAACCTTTGTTAAATACCAAGGACTGGTTGTCAAGGTAAACTTTAATACCAAAACGTTTTGAGATTCAGTGTTTTATGAGCATTTCGATGGCGTTGTAAAATTTTGTTTAACCTGTGCAAGTTAATCGTGGCACTTGGCAGCTTCCGCCATTAAACGCGAGGTCATGCAAAGAGCTGAAATTTAGTTTAATAAAAACTTGAGCAAGCTGTGTCAAAGCGACTGGGTACAATTTTTGCGAGACACGAAAATTTCTCTGAAACCCTAATATTAATGCGCTCGGGCTAATTTGTGAGTCACGCTCAGATTTTAATGTTGGTGGAAGTGGAAAAACCTAGTTAAGTACAGGAAAGCTGGTAAAAAGTTAGCATAATAAGTTTCTCGTATGAGCAGGCGTGGTCATGCGCCCCCGCGCGGCGGTGCATTAATGCCTTACAACTTAATGCTAGCTTGCACGCGGGCCCTCTCGTGTCCATAACGAGTCTGCAAAGAATAAGTGATGGATTATGCGTGTTGTGTTTTTACCTGCTTTCATATCACTTTTTTGCGGGTATGATAAGATGTTATGGGTAATAGGTGTCGCGGAGAACCTAACGGGTGACCGGGGCTCCGGCTCGAAGCGCAGGAGAAGGAACTGGGTGGTTTTTAGTCAGTAAGAGTCTGACACTCCCTCCCGCCTCACCCAGGCGGGAGTAGTCATTCTATGATTTTCCCCCCATAAAAAATGGGTAATAAGTAGGTATACATAATTATAAGTGAAGCCTTTATAAAAAACAACATAGATAGAAAATTAGCCCTGTCTTAACATACCTATGTCACACATGTAGGTACACATTAACAAATGGAGAGCATTGGCGCACTTAGGTAGGAAGTCAAATACCACAACACACAGGATTTACGCTATTCACCTACCTATATCAACAACGTGGAATGTGGCAGTGGGTAATTTCTGCGCTTTCCTCACCGAATGCAAATGTCTGTCACATCTGCATCAGCTTACCTAGTCGCTACTCTCGGCAGCTGCTGGCTAAAAGTCTAAAAGCCTTTGTGCCTCGGTGGAATCTAGGGCCACTTGCACCGTATGTGTACTCGCCTTTATTTGTGTTTACACTTGCACGTAGATTTTGTATTTTTCTTTTTGCATGTGGTGCATGTTTACCGTGAACATAATAAGTTAATATGTAGGTACCGATTTACTTATGACTGAGTAATGAGATTAGTTCGTGTCATCGTAGTCATCCATTCGGTATGATCTGGAAAATCAGAAGTGGATATCATAAGTAGTATACTTAAAGCAATCTACTGTAACAATCATACGAGTTTACCCTTACTAACCGAATTAGCATGAGAGACTTGGTGTAGTAATTGCAGAACACTAAATACACCACTGTCTGGGCCAACCGTTGTTTGAACAATGGGTACCGTACGTCTCTCCCTAAGGACGCCGTAGGTACAGTCTGCTTTACATAATAAGTTATACTATGAAACACTAACTACTAATTTCTTTAGGGCATAGGCCAAATAGTCCCACGTGACCCTTCTATACACACTTATCTTCGCACAACTCCGTTCAAGACCAACATTTCTTGATATTTCATAGGTTAGCTAGACAACAGGCCCCTCAGGTAATGTATGTAACTTTATCAACATGTTAAGTTGTCGTCTTATTTACAAATGTAATATTCAACGTTTCCCACGAGACTGGTTCAGACGCCATATTTAAATTACTTCTCTCAAAGCGGGATTACGTTTAGCTGAGGT